ATAATAATAATAATAATAATAATAATAATAATAATAATAATAATAATAATAATAATAATAATAAAATAATAATAATAATAATAATAATAATAATAATAATAATAATAATAATAATAATAATAATAATAATAATAATAATAATAATAATAATAATAATAATAATAATAATAATAATAATAATAATAATAATGACAATAATTGATGATCAATAACTAATAATGAAAATAATAATAGTAATAATAATAATGACAAAAATATTAGATTTAATTTTTAAAAAACTTTTCCAAATAAATATACGAAATTTTCAAATTTATCTATTTGTTCTTAAAACAGTTATAAGCTATTTTCTAATTTCCACAATTTATTTTATAATAGTAAAAAATAAATGAAATATGAAGTGAACCATAATGATAGAATCCTGCGTGGTACTTAATTGATACAGGTGAACTTTTTCCTGACATTTACTACGTCCACATTCACCATGCAAATATGCAAATTCTTCTTTGATAGATTTTTGAAAATTAACTAAACCAATGGGATGATGATGGTTAAGAATAAGATGTAATCGATGCCATGTCATCGTTCTAAAAATCATTCCTCAATCTTCCTTATTTAAATTTAATTTAAATCTTTTAATTAGTAGAAAAAGGAAAAAAAGGAAGGTATGGTAGAAGAAATATTTCGCAGTAATTTGATTGATTATTTATTATAATAAATCAATGTTTACATCTATTAATTGCTTAAAGAAAAATTAACTAATTAATTATGTATTAATTTTAAAGTTATTTCTTCCCTTTTTTTTCTTTTATTTTGTGTATTTATTAATGATTGAATAATTTTAAAAGTATTTTAATTTTTATACATTCTATCAATTTTTGCTAACAATCATTTTGCATATTTTTTATTGATCAATAGATCTATGAAGAAAACAAAATATATACTTCAATTCCAGAATCCAAAGTTGTGGTTCCTCATTAGGCTTATCCAAGCGTTGATGACAATAAATTAGGATAATATTACGTAGTAGAAACAAACAACGATTTGCATATTTATTGTTTGGCTTCTGAAATCGACCATCCGGATGTGTATTCAGTATTTGAGTAAGACCACGATTTTTACCAGTAATAGCAACGCTTAATATGGTACTTTCGAAACGATTGAATAAATATACGCAATTTTGGTAAATAAATGGATCACAAAATAGAGCTGAAATTTAAAATTTTAATTTAATTAAAATAAATATTGTTCAAAAAATGACACAAGTTTTTTTTTCTTTTATTGCTACCATATCTTGTCATCGATTTTTTTACAACTGATCGTTATTATTGTTATTTACTAAATAATTAATTTATCATAAGCAATTCTCAAATAATTAATAAGAATTTACTTACCATTTAAATATTTGAAATATCCTTAATTTCCTTCCTAAATTTTATCCTAATTTTTACAATTTTTAGATATATTTACATATATTTTACTTTTTTGATTTTCATTTAATCGTAATTTTAATTAATTGAAATGACATGAAATGCTTCGTATATCATATAATTAGGAAATAAATAAAAATACATTTTAACGACAATATTTTCCAATTTATGAAATAATTTTGGGCAATGAGCTTATTCTTTTTTATGCGCATCGAATGACTAAACTAATGAGGATAATTAAGTTAGCAAAGATAAATGAGCTAGCGAGGACAACTGAGCCAGTATCTGATAACTATGCTAATGGTGATACTGATCTAACGAGAATAATTGACTAACAGAGATAATTGACCTAGTGATAATAATGATAAAAATTATTTATATGACAGAATATAGCTATTAATAATTGAAAATATAAGTTAGAAATTGGAGAAAATCAAAAAATTTCCAATTTTTTGTAATATTTCATAAAGAGAAATGCTAGCACCTGTTCATTTGTCATTTCATTGGCGGAAATTGGAAAAGATGAAATATTAAAGAATATCAAAGTTCAAAGAATAATTGACGAGGAAAAAAAATCATCACAATTTAACGACGGAAGTGAAAATTAAAAAAAAAAAGTCAAAGTTTGAGGATCATTTTTAAGAAAAAGAAAGAAAAAAAAATGATCTAATTGTAATAGTAGCAATGAAAATTAAGAAATTACCTTTCTAAGAAATATTTACCTTTCTTATCTTTAATAGATGGTTCAATAACAACTGTTCGAATACCATTATATGAATAAAAATTCGACAAATGAAGAAGCCATATTTTTGGTGGATCATTTCGAATTTTACTTTGACATGATAATGGATAAGATATTAAAACAGGACCGGTATCATCGTATATTACCGTTGTTGTATAATGCTTCCTAAAAATTTATTCCATAATTTTTCTTTAATAATTTCATTTAACAAATAAATGAAACTGATTGCATTTCATAAATTTTTACATAACAAAAATTAGGAGTTAAAATTTTAGAAAAAAAAATTATGGAATATAATTAATATTTTATTAAAATATTTTTTAAAAACGTAGTTGCTTTTTCTTTTTAATTAATTATAAAATATAATTAACATTTCACTAAAATATTTAAAAAAAAAACAATAAATGCTTTTTCTTTTTAATTATCTGACAAATTTCTTTAACGTTTTGTAACATTATATATATATATATTTTTTTTTTTAAATCATAGTTCCTTTTTTCTCTTTAATCATTTAAGAAACTTCTCCAACCCTTTATGATATTGTAACTTTTTTTTCAAATCACAATTACTTTTCTTCTTAGTTATCTAATAAACTTCATTAATTATTAACAAGAAACAAAGTAATATATATATATATATATATATATATATAATATATAATATA